TCTCTCTCTCTCTCTCTCTCTCTCTCTCTCTCTCTCTACCTGCCCTGCGCGAGCGAGCGTACGTGTCGTCCGTCTTTATGGGGCAATGTGTGCGTGTGTGCCTGTGTAAGACAGACTAACAAGAGGGAGGGACCTCTGAAATGCACATTATTTGGGTGGGTGACTCTTCTCGCTTGTGTGTAGATGTACCTCGCTACAGCCTACTGATCAAGTTTTGAAACTTGAAACCGAGAATTCACTCAACCAATACGTCGTTACACCTTTACTAAAGCTGGGAGTCCTCGGGAAACGAACGACCGTCTTTATAGATCTACCACTGGTAGGTACACATTTTATTTATTATTGAACAGATTATGTTTGTTTTACATATCATACTTTATTGAAGTCTTAAGGTCTTACGATATCGAAATAGCTCTGTGCTTGTCAACCATTTACTAGTCAGCGCCCACATTTACCACCTTTAAATGGCTAACATTTTCCTACCGCCCACCTACATATTTCCAACGAGGCATTAGATAACACCTGTTACTACCTATATCCCCACCTCTCACCAAAGTTATCAAATCGCTCAGCAGTGGGTTATTATTGCTCACGTTGGCGAGCACTGATCTAGATTCACATACATGTATTTGATTTTATTGTACAAGAGAGAGAAACGTGTTTTGTACTACAGTAGCGTGAAAAATGGGTTTCTAAAAGTAAAAAAAATACGCCATTGTAATAAATAAGGTCACACCTCTTTCATCGTGGCTAAAAGGGTGTAAGGATTTTAATTTTGTTGATGAAAAGTAAATCTTCAGTAAGAATGGGAAGTTTTGTCTGTTTAGAACATTTTAAAGATCGTTTTGTAATGATGTGGCATATCCTTATGGGAAGATCTTCTGTGATAGCTTGGTATTGAAGGATCCAGGACCTTTCACAATACAGGCGTTTCCTTGAATAATGGTTTCAGGGGCCGACATATTTATTACGGTGGCAGGGTCGAGAGGTACTTGAATTCCACAGACATGGTAATGTTCGAAAGCTTTCTTTTCTTTCTTTCTTTCTTTTTATATATTTTTTTCTTTCTTTCTTCTTTCTTCTGCTCGTTTGGTGCAGGCTGTAGCCCTCTAACAACGACCTCCAATCTGTTCAGTCAGCTGTTTTCCGTGTCCAGGTCGTACCCATCTCTTCTTTGATGTTGTCTTGTCGTCTTCTTTCTGGTCTACCTCTAGATCCTCGTCCTATTCTTGGTCTCCATTCTGAACATCTTTTGTCCATGTTGCCCTTCACTCTGTCGATGTGACCAGCTTCCTATCAGCCTCTCCAAATCGACACTGTTCATTATTGTAGTCTGCTCACAAAAATAAAGATAGTTGGGCGCAAGAAGTGACTATATCCACTTTTGGTCGAAATGGAGTAATTAAATATGGGTAATCTGTCTATGTGTCTGTCTGTCTGTCTGTCTGTCTATGTGTCTGTCTTCTAGCCTGTGTCCCTCTTTGTCTCCTTTCCCTGTCATAGCCCTACACATCTGTGACCCCTCCCCCCCAACCACCCTCCTTCCGATCTGGTTTGGTTTGACTGTAAGCCGTTCTTTTAGCTCTGTAAATATCTAAGCTTTAGCTTAATAAAGTATAGATATATTAACTTTGTTTTTTACTATGTCATAGAAATTTCAATATCGTCCAAACTTCAAACCCGCTTTTCTCGAAACTGAAAGTTGACATAGTCACTTCTTGCACTCGACCGTAGATAAGTTCTGATCCTAATCTTGTGACTCGTGGGCTACAAGCCTTGCGATTGGGCTGTTCTCATGCGACGACTACGACCAATCGACTTGTGACCTTATAAAACACAATCATTTCTGATTTTAAGATCTCCGTCGAATAGGGCCTATAGATGAATTCGGTCGAATTGGGACAAAATAGTACCCTTTGACCCCCCCCCTCCCCCCAAGAAAGTCTGGCACCGACTGAATCGCCAAATAAAACATTTTTGTCATTGCAATGTCTGTCTGTCTGTTTGCCTACCTTCCTGCTTTCTACCTGTCTGTCTGTCTGTCTGTCTGTCTGTC